CTTGAAAATGGCATGAGTTTGGGAAATTAAATAATTATTATTTAATGTAAAATGAGAACTCAATATGAACCCAGACTAGGATTGTATTTCACTATTTAATATTCAAAACTTCCTTATGAGGTTATAGTTGTTTTATCCCTATTTAGTCAATGAAGATATTGATATTTGGAAAATGTAAAAAAGATTACAGGATCACAGGAAGAATATTCCAGAATTGAGATTTAATCTCTTTCTTAATATGATTCTAACTAAATTTTACTGATATCTCCTCTCCAAATTTTAATTTATAAACAATTTTAACCAGATACAACATAATAATTATGGAAAAAAACAAATTATTCTAAATGAGATGACCAGAGAAAGACATGGCCTAAGTAAATGACTTTTGATTTGTGAGACTAGAAAAGCAGATTTTCATGCTGATGTGGGCAGGAAGGACATGCTTCTCTGAAAGCTGTGACCTTTGGGAATTGTTGTTATCAAATGCCATAGAATCTGTTCAGACCCATAGTGATCCTACACAGGGTTTTCGAGTTGCAGCTGGTGAGCTTGAACTGCTGACTTTGCAGTTCAAACTGACTTTGCAGTCCAGCATATTAATCCATAGGGATACACCAGAACCTTTGGGATTAGGAGGATAATTTGTACAAGTCAGTTAGATCTCAATTTGCATAACTTTAGTAGGTATTATTGACCTAGTTGTTTGGACACTTCTGGATAATGGAAACCAAAATACTTTCATCTTGGACTTATAGTAGATATTCATATAAGACTGATTTTTTTTTGTTTGTTATCATCACTAGACTTTCCCTCTTCCCAGTGAAGTTGACTCAGCTTCTTCTGCACGTAGTATCTATGCTTATGGCTTACTTGTGGAATCAGTACTTGAGGGGAAAAAAACCCAGTCAATGCCATTGTTTCTATGCAGGAAGAATTGGTGACATTACATCAGAGAATGAGAAGATTCTCTCACCGTTGCCTTTAACTCAGAGATGGTGGAGAACATATATATGTATTTCCCATCTCCTTACAAATGGCGTTTTGTGAAAATTGACATTGTGTCTTAGGGCTAGGATCTTTTACTCATATCTAGTTTCAGAAGATTTGACAGGTAACAATTACACAAATAAATAATTTTGACTATTATTATATTATTATTATCACTGAGCTCAGTGACTTCATACCATACTGGAATGAGAACCATAAAGTCTGTGGTTCGAGCTTGCCAGCTGCTCTGAGGGAGACAGATGAAAGTTTCTGCATGAAGATTGAAAATATCTCGGACAGCACGTAACAACAACAATTATTTACATTAATGACTAGCAGGTTTACTATGAAAATTGAAGCTTTTTCCTTTTCCTTCAACAAGGAGCACTCATTTATAATGTGTAATTATTTCTGTGTCAAATGATTAATGCTGTCAACTGCTAATCAAATACTTTAAAGTTTGCATCTACCCAGAGGCACTTAGGAAGAAAGGCCTGCTTATTTGCTCCCAAAACCTCAGCAATTGAAAGGCCTATTGTATATAGCTCTAATCTGAAAGACATGAGGTTATCATGAATTAGAATTGACCCAATGGCAAAAGAATTTTGTTGTTACTGAGTTCTCTTTTTTGTTGTTGTTGCTGTTATAATCTCAAGTAGGCTTATGAGGGTTTGCTTTTTCTTACATGTATCTTCACAAACTTTGATGCCAGATATCTGATTCGATTATATGACCACAACACCTCCTTTTACTATCATTTGAAACCATAGTCAATACTCAATTTATTAATTTTTTTGTTTTTAAGTGTCATTGAATCAGTTTTGAGTCCTAGTGAAGCTGTATAGGGTTTTTAAATAGTGTCTCATAGGTTAGGTAACATAATTCAGTCCTAATTTGTGTATGAAGTCCTAGTGTGGTACTGGAGGATAAAGCACTGAACAGCAAGGTCAGTTTGGCCCACAAGGTTAGCAGTTCAAACTCACCAGCAGTTCCTCAAAACTCTTTACAGGATCACTATGAGTTAGAACGGACTCAACAGCACTTAACAACAACAATTTGTGTATATTTTCCATTTCCAAATCATATCTCATTCAAAATAAATATTTCATGTTCTTTCAAATATATTTTACATCGTTCATGCATTGTTTTGTTATGTTTTTCTAAAGGCATATGTCTCACAGACCCATATCCTAACGCCAAGTCAATTCAGACTCATAGAGATCTTACAAAGGATTTCTGAGACAGTTCTTAATGGGAGCAAAAAGCCTCATCTTTCTCCCAGAGTTGTTGGTAGGTTTGAATTGCCAACCTGTGGTGCTAACCCAATGCCTAACCCACAGCATCAAAATGTTAATAGCAATTTTTTTCTGGAGTCAGTTAATCTGAATATCAATTTTTGGCCCATCCATTGGAAAGAAGAGTAATTCTAACCACAGTAATTTTAACTACCTATGAAGTGTTTCCTTTCCATTACCACATTGACATTTCAGTAGTGTGAAAATTAATTTATGTCATATATACAGAACCTATCATATAACATACATCCAAGTAATGGCAGTTGTTACATTGTTGTTTTTTTTGTATTGTTTAGTGCCATTTAGTCATTTCCTACTCATAGTCACCCTGTATAAGGTTTCCAAGTAGCAGCTGGTGCATCTGAACTGCAGAACCTGAGGTTCAAAGTCTAGTGCTGATCCTACAGTGCCACACCAAAAATCCATTTATTTAGTTCAAATTTACTTAGTCAGTTCTATAACTGATGCCTCAAGTCTGCAAATCTGACGGAACTGTGCACCGAAACTCAAAATTAAGTTGAATTTTTGCTTAGAGATAAATTATCATCTCTAATCTAAAATGTAAAAACAAAGCAAAACAAAAACACCTAAATTAAAGTTATAAATTCATGAGTATTTTGAAAACTTTTACTACACAAATGTAATCAAAATAGTTCTGACAATGATTGTTGTTGTTAAGTGCCTTTGAGTTGGTTCTGACTCATAGCAACCCTGTCTGGGGTTTCCGAGGAGCAGCTGGTGGGTTTGAAATACCGACTTTGCTATGTGTAAATAACTTACTCTGTATAAAAATAATAATATTGTAGTAAAGTAAATAATCAAAAAAGAAATTAGCAGAAATGCTACAAACATTTTGTGGAGGAATAAAATAGAATAAGAATATCCTCAACGTTTATAGTGACTGCTTTTCAGAAAACCATTTCCAGTTTTCTCTTTTTCTTGGTCATCATTTAGAAACTTTGTTGTTGTTAAGTGCTGTAGAGTTGGTTCTGTCTCACAGAGATTCTGTATAGGGTTTCTAAGCAGCAGCTGGTGAGCTTGAACCTCTAACCTTGTAGTTCAAATCTACCCTGCAGCCCTGCTCATTAAAGCACAGTGTTAGACCAGGACTGCCTTTAGCTATGTCTATATAATATGAAAAGTCCTGGTGTGGCGCTGTGAGATAATGCACAGGACCTCCTGGTTGGTTTGAACCACAAGGTTTTAATTCCAATTTTTCATGAACTTTTTTGAGCCCTCTCATACCACACTGCATGTTCCTATAATGTTGGAAACTATGTCACCAGTTTTCAATTACCAGGAGTCACTTATGTTGGGTGAATTTAAGTGGAGCTTCCAGACAAATACAGATTAGGAAGAAAGGCCAGATAATTTGCTTACAAAAATTACCTAATGAAACTTTATGGATATCAACAACATATTGTACAATTTGCCTACATTGGAAACATCACTGGGAGAGACCAATTGCTACAGGCTCAACTGCTAAGCTTAGGTGACGTGAAGAACTAACAAGGACATTAGAGACCCTTGGTGATATGGTTTGACATGTAGCCAAAAAAATGGTCTTGAACATGCTGGTGATTGTGAAGATGATGCAGGAGGATTGGGCAACATGTCATTCTTTTATACAAGGGGGATTCCAAAAGGTCATAGACAAATGGAATTAAAAGATAATGTAAGTTTGCCATAATGTTTCTGAAGCCCTCTCACATCTGAGTTTCAGATTGTAGTAACTCTCAAACTCTAACTACTAATCAGAAGCTTGCTGATTAAAGTTCATATAAAGGATTTACAGATGAAATGCTGGAGATCTACTTCTGAAAATGTAGTCATTGAAAACCCTTTTGAGTACAATTCTGTTCTGACATAGTTGGGCTTACATAAATTGAAATAAATTCAATGATAAATGATTCAGTTATGGTTTTCATAAAACTTCTAATATTTATCCCAAATGGTTTAATTTCTTAAAAAAATAAGTAACCTGAAGTTTAAATGGTTAATTTAAAACTTTAATAAAAGAAGATGCAATCTTAGAAAAAAATCTATTTTTAAATCCAATTATCTTGCCATTATATAGCCGTGCAAAAAATGTTCACTCAGTTTTAGTAATATGCTTGTCAAACTAAAGTTAAAAAGTACACATAGTCATATGATAAAATTGTTAAGTATCTGAATTGCAATAAATTATTCAAGTGTCATAAAAATATCCAGTGCTATATTATGATGGGCATTTTTCTCTGAAAATCTACTGCTGTAATTAGTCTTACTTTTCCAGTTGCTGTTACTAATATATGTCTCAAGAGAGGCACCTAGGAATATTATGCACTTGACCAAGTTAATGAGATATGAGTTTATTTGTACTGCATTTGTGTGGGAAATATACATGAGAGCATAAATTATTCTCAGGCAAATTTCAGCTGAAGAATAATAATATTGAAATATCTGAAGACATTTATTTTTCTTATCTTTTTCTTCTTAACCACCAGCTTTATATTATTTGAGTCATCAAAGGAAGAACATAAATTTGGGAGTGGTGTCTTTTTGAAAAACAGAGGGTATTGTCTGGAAGAGAGAACGCCATCATAAGGAATTTCCTACTACAAAGTTGTATCAAAATATTAAACACATACACAGAGCATCTCCAAACAACAAAATGCAGATTCCTTTAATTCTCAGTCATTCACTCTGCAATACCAGCAATTTAATCATTAAATAAGTATGAATCACAGCATTGTGACAGAATTCATGATTCTGGGCCTCACCAGAAATCCTGAAATCCAAGGAATTCTCTTTGTCGTTTTTCTTTGTATCTACCTTTTGGCTTTTCTTGGCAATATGCTCATTGTCATTGTGATAATTTACAACAATACTTTGCATACTCCAATGTATGTTCTTCTTCTGGCATTGGCTATTGTGGACATCATCTGCACAACAACTATTATACCCAAGATGTTGTGGATCATGCTCACATCACAAAAGACCATCTCATATAGGGGCTGCATGTCCCAGCTGTACTTCTTTACATGGTCTCTTGGGGCTGAGATGGTTCTTTTTACTGCCATGGCATATGACCGCTATGTGGCCATCTGCTTCCCCCTTCACTATAGCACTATTATGAACCGATGTATGTGTGTGGCCTTGCTCAGCATTGTCATGGCTATTGCAGTAACCAATTCCTGGGTGCACACTGGTCTCATTCTGAAGCTCAACTTCTGTGGGCCCAATGCCATTGACCACTTCTTCTGTGAAATACCTCCCCTGCTAGCTTTGTCCTGCAGCCCTGTACGACTCAATGAGGTAATGGTGTATGTTGCTGATATCATCCTGGCCGTAGGTGATTTTACTCTGACTTGCATCTCCTATGGTTTTATTATTGCTGCTATTCTTGCAATCCGCACAGCAGAAGGCAAGAAGAAAGCTTTTTCAACATGTTCATCCCACCTCATAGTAGTTTCACTTTATTATTCTCCTGTAATTTACACCTATATCCGCCCTGCTTCAAGTTACACATTTGACAAAGATAAGGTGGTAGCTGTGCTTTATACTCTTGTGACACCTACATTAAACCCAATTGTGTATAGTTTCCGCAACAAGGAGATGCAGGCTGGGATTAGGAAAGTGTTTGCTTCTCTGAAACATTAGTGGTTTTAAGGTGACATTAACCTTTAGTCTATAATTATCTCCTAGAACATTTCAGAATTTAATAAGCTTTCATTGTTGCCACCAACTCACTTTTTCTATTCACTCTTAACAACAAGTATATTTTACTCCACTGTGGATTAATGTGCTGGACTGCAAAGTCAGTTTGAACCACAAGGTCAGCATTTCAAACTGACCAGCTGCTCCTTGGAAACTCTACACAGGGTCACTATGTGTCAGAACCGACTCAACAGCACTTAACAACAACAACAAGCCACTTTATTCTTGTTTTCTAATTTTCTAATATATCCTTATTTTCTTACCATTCCAACTACATTGACCTCTACACATAGTTCCACAATTTTTTTTTTAAACACTCTCCTTCTTGAAACTTTCAAAACTCATTACAGTGATCATAGTAGATATGAAATATTTATTTAATTCCTTCCTTTGTTTAGCATGTTCATTGCTTCTACAGATTTCATACTTTTCATGTGAACAATGTTTGCAATAAAAACACATATATCCTTACATAAATATATACACATTGTTATAGATATACATTTTGTATCTATCACACTTTATAAATATGTTTATATATTTATATTTACATATATGATTATAGGTACATAAGCATCTCAATATCCTTTAAAACATATACACAATGTCATATGTTATAAATGCTTATGAACATTTATCAGCACATATATTCACACACCAAATGTATATGTATAGAAGAAAACTTCTAATACTATAGAATTAATGTTCTAATACAGAAACATATATCCAATTTACATAAAATGAGATACATTTTATCATAATGAGACATGTATGTGACAAGGTAGTATAGTTTTCCATCAAAACTAATGTTATAATCAGGATTCCCTGCAATAAAATTTTATTTATGTAGAAATATTCCCAGAATTGTTTTCATAAACCTAATCTAGCCCATGGCATTTTAGTTTCTTTTAATATTTGAAATATTCAAATGCATTTTATCCATCTTTAAAAAAAAAAGCTTTGAATGATAGAAATTAACTTTGAACTCATGCCTCTCAGAATATATTCCACTCTGTTTCACACATTATTCTTGTTCACTATGTTGTCATGCATTACATTTAAAATATGTGTATAAAGAAATAGTACATCAATATATTTGGAACTGAAATAATGTCATAACTAATTTAATATACTGCAATATATACATCACACTACATAGGAGAAAATTATTGTTGTTTTGTGCCATTGAGTAAGGTCTAACTCATAGCGACCCTGTATAGGGTTTCCAAGAGTGAATGGTGGGTTTGAAGTCATACCTTGCAGTTAGCAGCCCAGTGCTTATCCTACCATGCCACATCAGTGCTCAGGAGATAATAGTCTATATGTATATTTATTTGTCTAGAACATGTATGTGTATATTATATACAGGATACTGAGCTGTGAAGTTGAAATTGTATCTTTTCCATATTTTCTTTTATGGTACTTAAACCCTTAGAAATGTAGACATACATCTAAAATTGTGAATGTACTGATTTTTCCAGGTTTTGGAGTAAAGAAACGAGAGGTTAGAGTGTTTTGTGTCAGTCTGGATATGTGAATAAGGGGTTGGGAAAATTAAAATATATAATGGATTTGAACTTCACTTTATCTAGTACTTGAATGTTGTTGTTTTTGTTAGGTGATATTGAGTTGGTTCCGAGTACTAAATAGTGTTTCACAATGACTGGGCTAGCTTGCTTAGAATGTTCCTCATTTGTTTTATTTTTACTGTTTTAAATTGTTTTTCATTTTACTGGAAGAAATTATAGGAATAATTCCTTCTAATAATCAAACAGCTCAAAGAAATAATTAGGTTTCTTCAGCATTTTCCCTATAAATAAATAGCTTCTGGAGTTCTGGTTTTGGAGGCAATAGAAGCAGAGTCAGGTAGGACAGGTTCTATGGGGGAGAAGCTGAAAACCCAGAGAAGGTTCTTTCACAGAGCAGCTCCAGAGCTCTGGATATAGCACAAGGGGCAGGACATCAGTTTCCTGCACCTACTGTTGGAAAATCACTGTATAAAGGAAAATATTGCAATTTCAGAATAGATCAGGACATAGGACTCCCTCTGTAGCAACCCCATACTGGATGAGTTCAGAGGGTGGGGCCACAGCCAAACCAATACAGTGAAAAGATGCTGAAACCCATGCAGTGACATTTGCAAAAAGAGATGTGGGGGATTCTATACATTTTTTCCTCTTCTTCCCTGTCGTGCCCTCTTTGCCCAGCCTGGACACGTTCAGGTGGGTGAGTGCACACCCCCTAAAAGGCCCAGCATTGAGCATACAGTTCCCCATGACACAGAAAGGAGGAGCCCCATGGGTCCTACTGGCTGATCCTTTGGCAGCTGCTTATGATGTCTGACTATGGAACCCAGCCCCAAAGGTAACTTGTGTGAGACCCTTTATTCCTGCCTACCCATCAAGTAAAAAACAGGTCTGGCCAGGCAGACAAATCATATGAACACTCTGTAAAACTCCAACATAAAAGGCAAGAGACAACACCAAGTATTCAGACAAGGATGAAACTATTTCAAGAATTATACTGTGCACATGCAGATACCTAACTGACCTTCAGAGACAAAAATAGTGGACAATCTTTCTCCCATTGACTACTCAATATCTATATGTGCACCTCTATGGTGGTGACTAGAGGAGGGGCCTGAGTGAGTGGACACCCCTACCCACTGCTGGAAGTTTCTACTGTGCATACACACTGACCTGCACAGCAAAACGACTATTAAGTTGACTATGGTTTTATTTTTGTTTTTGAGTGGTAGTTTTTGTCTCTGCTTTATATTGCTTCTGTTTTTTGGTCCTTTTGATCACAATTTTTTCCTGGGGGTGGGAGCTTTTTCTACCTACATTACTCAAGAAAAGACAGAAATCGTGGCCATACAGTCAAGCTACAAGCATACCCCATAATATCCCACAATTGAGACAGGAGCCAATAACAGCTTCTAGGCATTAATATCAATAAAAGTATGTACACAGTTGTATGTTTTCACTACACTTACTCAATCTGTACATTGAGCAAATAATCTGAGAAGCTGTATATGTGAATAAGAATATGGCAACATTGTTGGAGGAAGACTCTTCAACAAGTTGTGGTATGCAGATGATATAACCTTGCTTAATGGAAGTGAAGTTGACTTGAAATACTTTTTGAGGAAAATAAATATTGGAATGCACCTTAATATAAAGAAAATGGAAAAACTCACAAATGGACCAATAACAGCTTAATGCTAAAGAGAAAATATTGAAGTTGCCAAATATTTTGTTTTACTTGGCTCCACATTCAACAATTTCGGAGTCAGCTGTCAAGAAATCAAATCATGTGTTGGTAAATCTGCTGTGAATGACTTTTGAAAGGTTTAAAGAAGAGTATGTCACTTTGAGAACTATGATGCACCTATCCAAGTCATGGTATATGCAATTGCCTCATATGTATGCAAAAGCTGAACTGTGAATATGGAAGATAGGAAAAGAATTGATACATTTGTAATATGTTAAATTAAAAAAAAATATATTGAACAATCCACGAATGGCCAGATGTACCTCCACTCATCTGTCAGTTATCATTTTTTTCTCTTTTTTACTTTTTTATTATGAATTGAGTGATAAATTACATGGGAGAACATCAGATTTACAATCCTATCATAGTTTCTTTCATTGAAAGGATTACAATCCCCTCCATGCATCATCAAATAACCAAAGGGTACACCCCGCAAGCCTGGCCCCAGGCTGTCAAAACACAGCATCTCTCCCTCTCTGAGTCCAGAGTCTCCAGACGCTACATCGCTCCACATCATCCTCTCTACCTCCATCTCTGGTGTCACTGCTTCTCTGGATAGGGTCCCACACTCTGTTCTTCTCCTTTGATGGTCCCAGAGTCCTCCATTCCTGGACTACAAAATCAACCATTCCCCTGTTTTTGTTACAAAATGTCTACCTTTACATTTGGAATACTCACAGTCAGTCCTGATAGCAATTATTCACTATTGAACCACAAGAATCTTATCACCATTTCCTTTCACCAGCCCCATCCAGACAGACTGAAAACCAGTCAGTGGAGATTGTACCTTCCCCCACACCCTCTGGAACTAGTCTCCCTCATGAAAGCTTGTAAGCCAGCCACTTCTTGCCTTGGTAGCTCCCCTCCCCATTTTGGGTAACCATTGTCTAAGTTGTCCATCTCTTTCAACCCTGTGTACTGAGGAGGTGGGAATGATCCTCGTTGTAAAGATTTGTTACCTCTTTTGAGCTACTACATCTGTAAGTGTAGGTCAAGTTCATCAAATTGTAGTGGATTACTCTTGTTTTCCTCTTCTTTCTTCCTTTAGTTGAATTCTGATCATCCAGGCATTGAAGCCAGGTCAAGTGGATACTATCTGCAAGTATAGGTGTTCTTGTGCGTCTCTCCTCGCTTCATATCACCTGGATGCTTCACTCTCTGCTCTAGTCCTCTGTGGCCATGTCCCTGTCTCTGGGTCCAGGAGTCTCCAAGTCTTTCCATACTGGTGGCCAACCAGGTCTTAATCCAGGTTAACAGGAGTATTTTGAATGTGGTCTAACCTAGCTCACAACTTCATTGCTGTTTTTCCACCACTTCCCTTTATTGGTAGACCAATGTGGTCACCAGCAGGACCACATGGGTGCACATGTATTCCCCTGGAGCCTAAGTTTTGGAAGGGGATTTGCTCTGAGGGGACCCGACCACTTGCTTTGATGGATCCTGGGTGAACAACTTGCTTGTTCTTGTAATAGTCAATCAGATTGCCATTATTGTTTTTTATTTTTCCTGATGGTCTTTCTTTCAAGAAGTATCTTTTGTTCTTATAGCCACTCCAAGCTGGTCTGCTTATCCTTTCACGTGGAAATGTCCCACCTCAGAAAATTCTGAATGGGAATCAGGATTCCCCCTATTGTCTTATGCAGTGAAAAGCCTCTGCAGGAAGCCTCCCT